CGTCTTTCAGCCCAAGGGGCTCTGGCCCCTCCGCCAGGACCAGACAGCACCCTCAGCCATCGCACGGCCTCTCCTGCTTCCCTCTGGAGTCACCTCGGGCTGCAGCCCACCCTCTGGGCCACTCCAGCCCCAGAGGGTCAGGGGCTCAAGGGGGCCCTCGCGGTGAGGGAGGCCTCAGGCCCAGGCCCGGCCCAGCCCTCACCAAAGATGCCTGGCAGTTTGTTTGCGTGCGGCAGCTCGTTGGTTTTCTTCGGCTGCCTCCTCTTTAGGGGCCGCGCTGCACGAGGGGCACGGATGGAACTTGGGCTGGCGCTGAAGAAGGTGACCATGAAAGGCTGTCTGGCGCGTGCTGCCTGTTGCCCCAGCAGACCGGCCAGGCCAGGGTCCACGCTGTGCCCTGAGAGAGACAGAACAAGGGTCACTCACGGGGGTTTTCCTGTCACAGACACACAGCAGGGACTTCTGTGCTCTGAGGACCTGGGGGACCGCTGAGCCTCAGTTCCCTCATCTGAGGCCAGCTAACTTCAGCCTTGGCTGTCTGGAGGACAGGTCTGGGAAGGGGGTACGGGGTGCACAGGTATCACAGTCAGGGATAGGTGACCCAGACATTTGGGAAGCGTAATCCAGCTTTCAGTTTCCCCCACTAATTCCCTAGCTAGACCTTACAGCACCCAATATTTTGCACTGTACAGAAGACCCATCAGGGCCCTTCACCGATGAGGAGAGTCCACTGCTGATAAATTTCAGAACCAGGGCTCCTTCCTTGGGACCCGAGGACTGTGTACTGCTCTCTGCCCTGACTTTCTGGGAAGGTAGATGTAAGATTAACGACAGCACCAGCTCAAGGCACCGACTCTGCCCAGCATGGCTCCAGGGCAGGACATTCACTGCCTCCCTGGTGCCCGCAGAGCAGATGTGAGAGCAAAGTCCCAGAGCCCAGCTCAGCCGGCGGTTGGAAGCCCACGTTCATGTCCACCCAGCCAAGGTGCTGGCTGTAAAGGGAGGAGAGCTGCGGAGAGACATGGCCTGGGCCTGGCCTAGGAAGAGTGGAGACTGACTCTGGGATCTTCATCCTCACTCTCCCGGCTGCCCTCCTGCCTGCTCCTGGCTCTCAGCCTTTTCGCACTGCTGCTGGAGATTTCTGACACCTGGGCCAGATCAGGTTCCCCCAGAAACCCAGCAAGCTGTGCCGGATGACATCCCATCCACCCCGACGGGCTGGGTTTCTGCCACCTCCCCAGCCTGGTGTCCCCTCCCCATCTCCGGATTCCAGGATCTGGCCCCTACTTGGGGTGAGCCGTTGAAGACGGAGTTGCTGGTTCGAACGGTTCACCCTGCACATCGACGCCTCCGCCCCAGCACTATCTTCCTGGGCCCCCTTGTCCTGTACACGGCCTCTGCTGTTTTTTGTTTGAGTTTTTTTGTAAAAGCGCTGTAATCGCCGCATAAAGCACCCCCCAACTCCCATACACTTGTTTTCATTTTCTTGGGCTACTTTCATGTGCTGATCTACATTTTACACACTTGTGTAAAATAGCAAAGAAGTCTACAGTTTTTCAACTTTCTCACAAACCCTCCTGCAGTTGTTAAAATACATTGCCACAATAAACGGGTTAAATGCATAAAATGCTTTTGAGCAGATCCACCTGCCTTTCCATGAGGAGGAGCTTCACATTAGGGCCAGGCTTTGCTGGCTTTCCTCATGAGGATAAAACACACACCTCCTCCTTGTTGAGCTTGTGTGCGATTTTCTACCTGAGTCACACACTGCTGCTCACTGTTATATCCCTCAGCAGCACTCAGCATTCGGCTGGCACAAGAGTACTTGCGCCTCCTGTTATGAGCACAGACACGCAGACGCCCCCAGCACCTGTGTATGGCACAGAAACACAGACGTGGGTACAGCCGCAGGCACGGTGTGAACTCAGGTCCATCCACCCTGGCTGCAACCTCCCATGACCTCCCTGCCACAGCAAGG